AGAGAGAGAGAGAAGGGGGGGGGGCAAGGACTCACCTGTGTGGCCTCTACACAGCCAGGAATGAGGGTTGTGTACTTAGGTAAGCATGCCAACTGCATAGGAACAAAATCCTTGAACATGTTGTCCACATCCTGCTGGTTAGGGTAGCGGTTATACACACTGTGCCATCTCTCCCGTACCTCTGGAATCTCAGTTAATGCCTGAAGGGATAATATTAAACACTAGAAATTTTATAATCATGCTAACACTTATCACTGTATAATTTTCCTTAGGGTTTATTATTCTGTCATATGTAATGAGTGCATCTACTTTAATGCACTGAATATGTACCAATATTATGCCTGGGCAAATGATTAAGTTTTTATATACTCATATTATAATTTACATATATACTGGTAGCTAGCTTATAGACATAAATGTATATGCACAGTACAATGTACACTAAACCTTTATATGAGCAACAACAACACCAAAAAAAAAAAACAATTCTTGTAAATTTCAACAGTTTTTCAGTAATCACTTAGCTACTTACATAGCCTACCGATACTTAAAATGTTGAAAACATAAAGATCTACAGGCTCATTTGCAAGTTTTAAATTTCAATATTAACCATTACGGGTAAAATTCACCAGTCTACATTTCCATTATGGGAGTGACTCCAATATTACTTAATGTATAATAACATTAGAATGATGATATCTCTGGTAATCACACCAGTGTGCCTATAATTATTTTCTTGGTACATTAATATAATACATACAGTATGTAATATGGTGATTACTCAATCTTTTCAATGGGGGGAAATTGTGAATTTACAGATACTTTATTTTTAAGTCATAATTTCTTAAAATAAGAACATTCCTATCATGTGGTAGCAGCAAAATCGAAAAGGAGGTTACTCTTTAGTTCTATTCTATGCTATATAAATTATAATTTTGTAATTATAAAATTACGTATCTGAAAGGTTGATAATTTCTGCCCACTAAAAAGACTGAGTCATTACCAAAGTACATGTTTACCTTAATATGGAGATCCTTCCTCAGTCCCATGGGCAGCCTAGCCTCCTCCATTGTAATGGGCACACGGTGTTTCTCAAACACATCCTTGAAGACGACAGCTGGGGCGATGACATACTTGTCTGCAGTGGTCCCACTCCAGTCTAATATCACAGCCTTCACTGGGCCAATATACTGTCTGAGAAAACGGTAGTGTGCCATCTTTGTCTGAAATGCATGGAATACTGATATATAGGTAACACGTAACATTGATACAGTGTATAAAATTAATTAGGACATGAAAATGTATGGCATCACTTTCAAAGTACTACATGTAATACAGGGTACATGTACATGCATGTATTTGTGAATGTACATGTAAGCATTTCTAATGATTCTTCAATTTTAGACAACTGGCGGTTACTTTATACACCTGGCACTCACTGCCGTACCGGTGTGGCAGGAATGGTAGTCGACTAGGAACCGTAGTCATTGCGTAGTCCGTTCTGCATAATTACTTATTTTGCACAGGTTACATTCGTCCCATATATCAATGTGATATACTAATTCACTAGTGGGCTTGATTTGGTCTTGAAGTGCAATTTAAGATCTCAAATAGTCTTGTGTGATCTTAAACCATGAGTAAGACCATTTCTGCAATGACAGCCAATTAAGTTGTCTCCCCTTACACATTCTCCTATTGTGATCAGAGGTACGTGTCCTCTATTGTGAGGAGAGGTATCCCCCATTGTGAGGGGAGGAAACTGCTTGACTACTTAAGTAGATGTTAGATCATTTTTTACCTTAAGAGCATATTCAGTCCATTTTAAGACTACTGCTGTAATGATTAAGACCGTGTTAGATCATTTGTGATCTTTTAAGATTTAAAAATGGCACTTTAAGACCAAATCCAGCCCACTAGGCAATACTGTACTACGTACGACTAACCCTAACCTGTACTAATCATATGGGACCAAGGACTGTAACTACCACTCCTGTACGTGTCACAGCGAAACACCTTACAATAACTTGGCACAGAGAACATTTACTGCCTACTGCCGCTGCCAACTGGGGCTCTTCCAATATATAATACCGGTACGTTACCCGTACATCTATATATGACTCACATTACGTGCAAAGTTCTAGAGGCCCAGATTAAATAATTTGGTGTCATAAAACTTTACCATACTACTTGACAACAACTAAATACCTTATGAAAAAATAGAAGTGACAAGCACTTGACTTACCACGTAAATTGCAAATAATCAGACCATCAGCATCATTCAAGTTAAGTCCGCCTCAAACAATGCCTTTTCCAAACAAACATTCTAGACTCTTAAAACAAAAGATTCGCTATTTTTAATATCTGGAATTTGAAATATCTACCCTGATATGTGTGAGTTATTAATGTGCATATTAGGCATTGCAAAACCCGTCGTCATTTCTGTTGTACCTGTAGCTTACATGAAAGGCCCTATCAAATATTGGTGCACCGGGCACAAGAAGAAAAGGAAGTAGGGAATCCCAAAACGAAAACGAGGCCGGGGGCTGGGGATTTCCCCGACTCATAAAAAGTGGACGGTGACGCGGAGAATTTTCGCTGGGTTTGGTCACGTTAAAATGCGCAGTTGACATGATACCATGTGTTTATTGAGTCAAGGTATTTTCAGAGTGTGGATATATCAGCTGCTAGGATATTAACAGTTAAACTGAGATAACAAGTAAAAAATCTACGCGCAATTAAAGCTTTCGTTTCACTTTCGTATCGAGCAGTACAAGTATACAAGGCGGTACCTGTAAGCGAAGACATCCGTATTAGTTCATGCAGTAATCATGTCTGACCTACCAAGCAATGTAGAACCAGATTTTGTACCTGTAGAAGACGAAGATCCTACGCCAGTACAATGTGAAGTTGCAGAAAGAGAGACACAGGTAACGATACATGTACCGGGTAGTCTGCCTCAGTGGGTTAGTTAACTACTGTACATTGCTTGTTAAAAACGTATGTGCACCGTTAACTTGTACTTTATATGGAAGAGAGAAAGGCCTTACACTTAAACGATGCAGTGTACATGGCATTGAACACGACATTTCTTTGTGTATGTGTCAGTACAAGGGTTATGTATAGATTTTTTTTTCTTAAAAAAAAAGACCTGCTGTAAATGTACATGTTTATTTATTCTGTTTCTCCGTCTGTAATGCCTAACCAAGCTGCAAGTATCAGCACCTGTTACACTTAAATTGGTTGATAATTTTACAGCAAATAACCATATCTATCCACTGCAATTTTCACAATCTTAAAGATTTCATGCATGTATACTGGTACATTGCACATAAATTGTACCACATGTAGTACTGGTACTGGCACATATTTACTGAGATAACGTACATACTTGTACCCCAGTAATCCATGTATTGCACCATGGCTACTACCTAGCTTGTACCATTTAAATTGCATGTATTATATTATTGATTGTACTGGAACATTGTGAATTAAGATGCATGTAATCCATTTGTCTGCGAGTTTATCTTTTAAGTACTTCATGAAGGCAAGTACCGGTCTCTTACATGCATTTACATGTATGTACCCCCTATGCACTTACTACACATTGTACTAGTACCATACCGTGTATATACCCAAATGTTTTATATGTACATATCAAATAGACATACTGGGTAGGTATAAATCCATTCCTTGCAGGTAAAACATGTATATGGGCCAGTGTCTGATAGATCACTGCAACCCAGTATGCACTACCAGCGTGTACCTGACCCAGGGCCTGATAGCAAGAAGACCTGCAATGACCCATCACAGGGACAGCAAAATTGGTAATTTAACCTATAAATCCATAGTGCTTTTATAGTCATACATGTACATGTAGCTTTAATGGATTTTGTGACAGAACGAACTTATGGCATGAACTCATGCTGAACCTGATACGTACTGCATGTATCATGCTAATGACTGTTTATGGACAAAGATGGATTAAGTTTCACCCTACCACAGTAATTATTATCTTCTTGATTATTTGTATGAGATACATTTTTAAAGGTGATGCAAAAGTATGAGTACCTTGTTAATTGCAACTACTGGTACATGTAATATATACCGGTATAAGGGCAGATTTGGATGGAATTCTTATAATTTTGAAATGCAAAACAATTAATTAAAGGAAAAAAGTTGCAATATTTGTTGGTCAATTTCCAGTGAAGAGCAAAGCACCGTCAAAACAATGCCTGTTAACATCAGCAGTGAAGAAGATTCTGTAGACTCTGGTTTGGACTCCATGGCACCAGATGTCGCCACCTCTCAGTCCATAACTGCTGATTTGTCAGCAGGCATGCAGAAACTGACACTAAGAAGAGAACTGATGAAAATGGGAAATATCAGAGAAGATGAAGGAGAGGAAGCAAACCTTTCAATACCCCTGCAAGAAAATGGGATAGGAGAACAAGAAGAAAGCAGGGAAATTAAACAGCAAACACAACAGCAAGTTCGACGGCAATTACTACAGCAACAACAACAACAACAACAATGCTATCAACCAAACCTAATGAATAAAAATCTCTATCAGCAGGAAGATGTACATCAACAACAACAACAAAAGCAGATTTCAGGCAATCACCCATACTTTTTCAGAGAAAGTGGGGGCTCTCCATCAACAGAAAAAACAACAATACAACAGATACAAATACAGGGGAATCCTAGCATCTTTTATCCAAGACCTCCTCCAGACGAAAACTATAACCCACAAACCCAACCCTACCATTGCATTCATTTGAGAATGCCCAATACCCATAATGCAAACACTAGGTTCAGTAATCTCAGTTATGCTACACCAATTTCAAATTACCCAACTTCATACAGACATACACATCCTTCTCCAGTCATCAGGGCTGACTATTGCTATAGAGGTGCCAGTAATTGTGGTAGAGAAGACTGTTTCAGAGAAGATTGTGTTGGGTGTTACTCCCTAGGGGGCAGCAGGGTGGAGTCTGGGTGTTTCTCTGGTTTTCCAGCCAGACCCACTGAGGAGCAAGTGATGGTTGCATTCTTCCAGGACGAGGATGGAGACACGTAAGTGCATGGTTTATTTTTTCATAGCAATTTAGATATTTTTTTTTTTTTTTTTTTACTTTCAAAATTACGTCGTTTCATTTTTTTTCTGTGGGCCCATGATGTAGGTCCATCATTTATGTATTTTTTGTCTTAATAAGAAAAGAATGATATGAAAATAGTGCAGTGCATGTAAGAAACACTTTTTCTTCAAACACCAAAACTTGAAAACAATTTTAAAAAAAGAAAAGCATCATATGTCGTACAGTTTATATAGATTAACCTTATTGCTTTTTTGTCCCTTTATAAATCTTTTTGAAAAAAATTCCTTGTACAAAACATCCCATTACATATGCATGAGTCTATTTACTACACACAATTTCACCCATCTTCTCTCCCATCCCCACCCCACCCCCACAAACCAATACCACCACCCCTAGACCTGCAGAGAAAAACTGTTGCTGGGTGACAAAGCTAAAAATAAATCAGCTTCTGTTTGGAATTTCTGTACCATGATAACTTGATAACTTAGATAAACTTGATAAAAAAAGGGGAAATCCCTGTAAGGCACTCCTGGTACAGTGGGTATATATAGAGGTGCATGTACATACTTAATGGATATCCAAGAATTTGCATGATGGTTAAAAATTAAATTGCACCGGGTATGGCCCTACTACACCACACTTTGTAGACTTGCACATAATGAGAAAGAATATTGAATTTATAAGCAGTTTCTCTCTATAATGCTCATGAAAACATAGAATACTGAGAATACTAGTATCTTAATTAGCCCTATGCAATATGTGTATTAAAAGGGGCTATAAAAATCATTTTAAAAGAGATGCAATTGTAAATATAGGGAATTCCCCAAAAGATGAATCATACGTACATACAAGGTATGTAAACCTGTCAATCATGACTAAGGTGCTTTTGAGTTTATGTAAGCATTGTGGTCATAGCTTATTTTTAAGAATTTTCCAATTTTCCACTGCCTCCCACGATCTTTTTTTTTTTTTCTTTTTTTTTTCTTCAACATTCTCTTTATAATTATCCTTATGATGCATGTGCATACTTGGGGAAAACCAGGTCTACAGTGTATGGTAAAATTTACCAATGTAGTAATAGGTATTTTATCATCAGTAATCAAAAAATTAGCATCATGACATTTCTATATGCATATAAAAATTTGTTTGATTCAAAAATTTATTTGATTCAACAAAGTTCTACTAGTTGATTTTGCCATTAGCAACATTTCTACTGTGTCATAAATCTGGTTACAGAAATTAGAAAATTCCACGTGGTTATTGAGTCTGACATGAATCACCATATATTCCTGTGAGTCAGATTTAGATTATAATTAAGAACTATTGTAATAGTCAGCTACTTAAATACCAGTACAGCTAATCATCCAGAAACCAGTCATTTCCATGTCTTAACACGTAATTGGCATTGGTACAAATATATTATATTAATGTTACTTTTTTGCACTGAGATGCATAATCTTTCTATGGTGATTGTCAGGAATTTCCATTACAGTGATTTCCAAAATGCCATCCTGTTATTTAGTTTAGATCTATAAATATGTATCTGTGATAGCGAACAGGTGGTAAATCTTCCATATAGTCATAAAACACACCTGTGGCTACTAGTAGATGAGAGTATGTGAGCACAGGGATTTCCACTGATAATAATAATTTTGGTCACAGAAACTTTGTAAGATGTACGTTTTATGCCCAAAATGAGAAAAAAATTACCCCCAGTGGAAAAATCTAGATTTTGCTTATGGCTTGTGGTAAAAAATTGAGATTTCATTTTTGTTCGTGCAAAACGCCAATTTAAACTGAAAACAAGAATTATGGATTAAATAATAATAATAATAATACTTAAATAGAGTCTTAAATCCAAGTAATATATATTGTTTGATAGACTCAATAATGTAAAACTAAAGTTAAGAAATATGATAAAAGGAATTTGCTTTATATTAAATGAAAAGTCAGTTTTAACTGACTAAACAGTTCAATAAAAAGTAATAAAAATATGCAAGAGCTATAGAATGTGATGTGATGTTATTTCATATTTTTTAAATTTTATATATAGACTAAGTGACTGTCACTAAGTTTTCAATGTATTATCAGAATTTAGTTAAAGCACTTTTAAATAATAATTTAGAGTATTGAACTTTATCTGAGAATTGGCATGTTATACATCATGCTGACTGTCAGCAGATAAACACAAGTGTGTATGGTATTAAATTAAATCATTTTAAAAAATTCAAATAAATTAATGACTTTTTTGAATTCAGTGTTTTCTTTAAATGTGCTTTCAGGCAACTTCACATAGCAATCATCCTGTGTCTTGAGAGGGAGGCGTCCCTGTTCATTTCCTGGGCACCCAGGTACCACTATTTGAACATAGCCAACTTCCTAGGCCAGACCCCTCTTCAT